GTGCTACTTGATGTTTTATTAGGCGTAGTTTTTTTTGTTTTTCTGTTTTTCTGTTGTATTTTGCACGAGGGTATATAATAATAATGTACACAAAATTTGTAAATCAACCATTTTTTTTTTTTAAAAAGAGCTGCCAAAAAATGGCTGCTAACTTCACAATTTTGGCTGCTACAAATGGCTGCTAACTTCACATTTTTGGCTGCTGCAAAAAGGCTGCTAACTTCACACCGGTTTTTTTTGCCCCATTATTATCGGAATACTACATAAAACGATTTTATGTAGAGGTGATAGGTAGTTTTCAAATATTCTATATTTTATTTATAGAAAATTGTTATTATTTGAAAAATCATTGCAATTTCCAGTTATATTTGACTTTGCCAAATATAGGGTGTCTACTTGAAAGCGTATCAAATAAAACATAATTATTTGTAATTTTTCAGAAAATATTATTGACAAAATAATCATATATTATATCACAAGACCTTCAAATTTAATCGATTAAACCTTAGATTATATATAGTTAGCACTAAAAGATGAGTAACCAACTCCCAAATATGGTACAAAGATCTCTCTTCAAATATTTTGATTTTATCTCTCTTACTTTGTTTACGCTGGTTTTCTATAGTACGATTTTCAAAAATCTGTTTAGATTTTGGATCTTTAGACATCTCTCTCTAAGGCAATATTTAAACGAAAAAAACACTATACAAGTCTAGCTAAACAGAGTATATTGTTTGGTGGTACCCAATAGAAACCGATTGCCGCACCAGCGTAAATGTCAATATTCATATTGTCACATATTGTTGTATGTTTATTTTATCGACTTTTTTGGGTGTTTCATTGCTTTAAAGTGAAATTGTTTAAAAATTAAACATTAATATTTTTATACATTTCGTGGAAGTTTCTTATTCAGGATTCGAAATGACTAATAAGTGTGCAATGCGTCAGAAAAGAGGAAAACCAGAGGATTGTTTATCATTTCACCGGTTAGTAAACAAAACCTATGACATCGACATGATTGAAGGGAAAAAAACACAGTGTCGGGAGGTGCATGTAGGCCACAAAAATACAACATGTTACATATTTTAATTTTGTATTTCTATTGAACATTATTTTTTCTACGAGCGTGCATTTTTTATTACTTTCCCGCACGCATCTTAGTTCCGAAAATGTCACTTTCCCGCACTAGTGCGCGATTTTGTTTTTCCCGCACTAGTGCGGGAAAGTGACATTCAGAAGTGGCGTTCAGAAGAAGTGTCAGTTTTGTTAATTAGTCAAACATTTTATCTATTTTGTCTGCATACATTTTTGCTAGATATACTAATTTATGCGCTCATAAACTATTTTAAATATTCCTATTTTCTATTTTAATCCATATTAATCTAATTTGTGAATATTTCAAAAATTTTATAATTTTTTTTGACATTGTTTGACTTTTTGGTTCCTTTGAGGCAGGGCAGTTTTTTTACCTTAGGAATTTTGTTTATTGTAACATCAAATCGATTTAATATGTAATTTTTTTCAATAATTCTTGAAAGTAAACGTAAAAATATAAAAATAAGTAATTTTGGAATTACATTTCTTTAATAATATATCGCTTTGAATTTACTTAGTTTTTGTTTTTATATTTGAACGCGCTCGTAGAAAAAATAATGTTCCTAACTCATGCGGAAAGTGTCTTTCCCGCACTCGACTGCTTGCCCGAACTCCGCTTCGCGTCGTTCGGGTCAACGGCAGTCGCGTGCGGGAAAGTATCACTTTCCGCACTTGTTAGGAAAATAACTATTTTAGTATTCCAGATAATTTATGATATGAAAAGAACATGCTTAGGAGCAACAAATTTAATATCTCAGTGAGCAAATGGACGTATGTTTGTGCAGACCATTTTAGCCGTGGAGACTACAGATTTTCAAAAACTGATGCTAAAATTTTAAAAGCCTTTGCTGTTCCTGTTGTTGCAAGCACAAGCGCTTCTCGAGTACTGTCCAGGTTAAGGGGTACTTGTCGAGGTACTTGTTCATAGGTTCATGTAAAAAAATCATTAATTTTGTTTTTTGAAGAATCTATCTATATTCGTGATTTGTTTGGACCCCTCAATTAGGTATTAAACGTACTAGAATTATCTTCATTAATGGTGTTATGTCCACCATTCAATCGAATAAAACTAAAAGTTCGCCAACTTTCAAATAAGGATGAAGTTCGGCTCAATTTGGAACTTGTCGGGAGCAAGAAATTAATTTTCATTTGGATTAATTTATCAACAAATATATAAAATGTCAATAAATGACCCAAATTATTGGTTGGCCAAGTAGTAGTTTGGTCTGCCTCTACTTTGACTACTAAACAGTAGTTGGTACTAAGTTTAAATCATACATGGCATCCTTAATGGTGACAATAATATCATACTGATGCTTTATAGTCAACTTTAAAAATATAGGTACTCATAGTACTTTTTGTGAGTATTTAATATTTACTTGAAAGTTCAGTGCATTATATTTTCAGTATTTGCATTATTGATCAGTTTGCTTTAAGTATATTTTTGTTATCAGTAGGTTCCTCAACTTTTGTAATATTATTATTAATATTCTGAATAAACATTGTTTTTTTTTTTGGCATTGTTGTTAAATTATTACAAAGCTATTTTTGATACAAATCCTCAAAAACTTAAAAAAAAACTCTAACGAAATAAAGGTCTGTTTCTGCAGAGATCGCAGGCCGGTCGGAGTGAGTTTCATTGGTTGAAACTAGTTTTCTGGCTGTTTTCAGCCAATGAAGTTCGCTCTGACTGGCTTGTGATTTCTGCAGACACAGACCTTTGTTTTGGTCCCATCTCATATTTTTTTTTTTGGAAACAGTCCAGTTTGCTTTCAATTTAAGTACTCAAATTTATCATTTTTAAAACTTCCTTTTTCTGGAATTAAATATATATTTCAAAAAATTATTTTTTCTACTACCGTGCGTAAAGTACTCACTTTACGCACTATTCAGAAGACGTAAAATTCCACTTCACGCACTAGTGCGTAAAGTAATTCACTTCACACATTAGTGCGTAAAGTAATGTCAATGACAGATGTCGACACTGTCAATTTGGCATTTTTCTGGTAAATTACTTCACGCACTAGTGCGTAAAGTGAAAATTCTTTACGCACTAGTGCGTGAAGTATTTGTCCAAATTTATTTTTTTACACATATTTGATTGGTAGTAGAAAAAATTTTGTATGCAATACTTGCGTAAAGCACCTTTTTTCACTCATGTGATTGTCGCACTCGCCTACGGCTCGTGCGTCAAAATTCACATTCGTGAAAAAAGGTTCACTTTACACACTTGTTGCATAAATAACTATTTTCTAGGTACTCCTATGGGAACCTTTGCTTCTAATAAAATACCTCTACGTATTTCTTGGAAATACGTAGAGATTCTTAACACATGTTTGTACCACCTTACTCCAATGCTTTTAGATAGGGCGTTACCTATCTTTTTTAGTAGATATTAAATCTATGGATTAAACTATGCAACATATTTTGAGCATGATTTTGCTTGGAAAATAGTTGAATGCACAATAACTTAATAAAAGCTCGAGACCGCGAAGCGGTCGAGGGCTTTTATTTAAAAGTTATTGTGCATGAAACTATTTGCCAAAAAGCAAAGTTGTGCGAAAAATATTTGGATAGTTTAATCCATTTAAATTTATAGGTCGAGTGGTATACGGCTAGATTATTTCCTGAATAATTATTAGGATTGAAGCCACAAACAAAAAGTTCTATTTTTTATTATAAAATGTCAGAATATTTCTATCGAAATTCTGTCAAAAAAGGTAAACAAAAATTTAATCGCTGATAAACAGGTCTTGTGAAATAATCACTTATTTAATAGTATATTATATACCTAGGTAGAGAAGTTGGTCATTAATACCGAAAGCTTTTATAAACCGAGGCGCGCAGCGCCGAGGTTTATAATGCTTGAGGTATATAATGACTTTCTCTACCGAGGAATATATAGAATTTTTTTTACTACTGCTAGTAGAAAATAAAAAATTTGTTTAAAAAATCTGTGCTCTAATTATTTTTTGTGAACGCCCTCTTGATAGTGCTGCCCTCTATCAACAGCTTATATAACTTCCTATGTACCTACAGAAACCTGTATTTTTTTTCAAATTGACGTATGAAATTGAAATTGAACCAATAGAAACATGACAATATCCTTGCGTCATGACGTCATTTTCATTATTGACCTAGGTATTTTTTCATTATTTTCATTATTAACCTAGGGAGAGAAATTCAATTTTTTCTTAGAAAAATAGATTGAATAATGTCTATTTCTTAGGTTAGTAGTAAAAAAAATTATCTATGTACCACGGGAATTATCAGGTGTTAATACCCACGGGCAATTGGTGTCCCTCGGGCCAGAGGCCCTCGCAAACGAAATTTTGTAAGTGCATAGGAAAATGCTCGGGAAAATGTATGAAATTTCATGACAAAACAAATCTTCTGCTCACTCCTTTCGAACTTTTAACTTTGAAGCGTTGCAGCTACGAAACTATTGTAAGTAATGGAGAAAAAGGAAAATAGACAATTACCCTCAGAATTACTGCTATGTATAGTGAAGTTTAAAAAAAAAAATAGATTAAAAAAAAAAGAATAAAATTGGATAGGCAAGTGAAAAAAAAACAAAAAAAAAATAATTGAAAATAGCACAAAGATATTACCTAAATGTGTTTGATTTTTTAACAGGACTAGGAATGTTGGCATTGGATAGCATGTTTAAATTTGTATTAAAATTTAAAAGCGGTTACCCTCGCGGTTACCTATTATTTTTAATCAATGAATGTAATATGTATAAAAATCACATATGTAATATACTCGGTAATATACTTATAAAACTTATGCAATCGAAAATACAGAAGTTAGCAATGTTATTTTGTTATCAAGTATCAAGAATTTACTTATTAGCTTCCTAACTTTAATACTTGGATTTCATATAAAAAGAACAAGTTTCTTACCTATCCACCAAATCCAAATCAATCATTGTTTCAATCATTATTTGATATTTTTCCATATCCATTGCAAATTCACCTAGTGGATTGATAAACACATCCTTAACACAGTTATTATTCAATTTCCTTAAAATATTTATCAAAGTTGGCAAATAACCAATTGCCTGATACAGTCTGTAGCAATCCTGAAGTTTTGCTTTCTTTCCTGACAATTTTTTTGAGAGCATCATTAAATCTGGTATCTTTGTTAGAGCATCTTTGGTAATTAAAATTCGAGTTTCTGAATCTTTTACGAAACATCCCACAATATCCAATCTTTCATTAATAAGATTGTGGTCTTTTAAAGGCTGTTTTATCCATTGCTCCAGAAGCCGTCTTCCTTGAGGCGTTACACAATAATTCAAAATACCAAGTAAATTATGTGTCTTTGGGGTTTGAGTGAATACAGGGGCACCTTCACTGTTTAAACTGGGTTTTGGCAAAACATTTAAAGCATACAGAGCAGCATTATCTATTCTTACAAACCTTTGTGCATCAACTTTTTTTAATCTATACTGGTTGAAATTTGTTTCACTACCAGTGAGATTTAAAAATTTGATCACGGCTTGTAAAGCACCCATAGCGTCTGGCAGATTGGTTTCGGAAAACATAGTTGCATTCTTTTCTTGTCCCATTTGAAAGAAAAGCAAGCGGTTTAAATCTTGAATTATATCATCTGCATTGAAGTCAGATTTCTTAACATGAGCTACTAAAACACCATTTCTGTCCAAGACTGTTTTAAGCGTGTTCAACTCAAGATTGTCTCCAGAGGGTATAATACATTCTTTAGGTCCTATTTGAGCTAAAAGTGCTTCTAATTCGGAGAAACACTCATTATCGGTAAATTCACATACTTCAAATGTTAAATCTGTTGTATTTATGTTGCTTACCGCCAAAGTTTTATTTTTCCCTGGTTTTATTCCCATTACAGAATTGGATGAATTAATGGAAGCATTTTCAAATAAAATCTGTTCAAATTGAGTTAGATTTCCTGGAGAGCCCTTATATTCTAATTGCCAATCATTACTTTTACCAGACGACTTAACATAAACTTCAACTCTGTATTGTCTTACTAGAAGTAGTTCCCTGACGAACATTTCCATTTGATGCTTATTAATGCAGAGGTAACTGAGCTTTGGGGTTTCTCCCATGTAATTAACGATTTTAGATGTGAAATCTGCAGCCAGTTTAGCATCGTCATCGTGCAGTGTGTAGTAATCACTGCGATTAAAAAGCCGGACAGTAGATGCGGCTTTTTCTGGTAAACCTCTGAAAAATCTCACGAAATTCTGTTGTTGGACAATGTCCAAATTCAAGGCTTGAATGGTAGTGTCTTGGGACATTGTACTTGCTAACTGGGTTGCCTGTTGACTTCTTTATTGACGAAAAAAATCACTATAAATTAACCACTGAACATCAACGAAAAACACTTTCAGATTTTTGCTTTTTTGTTGGTAGTTTTGTTGTAAATAAATTTCAATTTTTCAAGGTTAGATGTCTCCCGCCTTTTTTTGACATTTGGCAAATTCATAGGTGCTTTCCAGTGACCCATTTGAGTTACTCCTGAGCAGCTCAGGAGTGCTCCACAATTGCTTTGCGCGTTCCAGTGCTTAGAGTGTCGTACACACACAGAGCTACTCATTTCTGTTTTCCCCTGCCCCCTCGTGCACCAACCCCTTTGTCAATGTTTCATGCTCCTGAAATCCGAAATGGTGGGGGTTAAGACGAGAGCGTTCCAGTGCTGCTTATGTCGAACAGTTCAAGAGCGTCACACTTCAGGAGCATGATACTCTAACAATTTAGGCACTGGAAAGCGGCTCATAAGCAAAGGGCGCTTTCTTTTATTCATCGATGGATTCATCTGCTGCCACCATTTGTATTCCTTTCACCACACCTAGGAGGAGCTCCAAAAAAGCTCCGGGGCGTTAAGCGCTTATTCCTTTTGAAAAGTTTCTGTTGCACCGCACGCATCTGTTCCTTTCAAACCGGGGGCGACTAAACAACTTTTTTGATATACCGAGATGAACTGTTTTTGTATTTTAACAAGACAGTCATAAAACTTACCATTAACAAAATGTTTCGAACAAATTCGAGCATTTTTAACAACGTTACAGGCAAATACTATTGAGGCATCTAATTCATACTCCGTTGTTTTTTTGATAGCTCGTTTATGCGATCCCCTCGATTTTTAAATGCTGCTGGAATCCTAAAAAACAACACTTTATCCCTTTCAGCTCTATTGGAGCACCCAAAAACGCCACAAAACTAAGGCATCTTCACAAAATAATACTTTAAAAATTCTCGGTTTGCATTGAAAAAAACATTAAATCAGCGTTATGTTTGGCTTCAGGGTTGGATGAACCCACCGGGATACCGGGAAATTCCCGGTGGGCCGATCGGAGCGTGGGCCGATCTTTAGAACAACAGGATTATCAAGATACCTTCAAACCAAAGTCTGAGATCGAAACGGACGGCCTCAAGCCTAGTACTCATAACTGCGAAATTCGCATTTTTTTGACATTTCTTCGACAAATTGACGTTTGATACACGCATAAAACGTCAAATTATCAACGCAATGTCAAAAAAATGCGAATTTCGCAGTTATGAGTACTAGGCTTTAATAGGGCAAGTACACGATCTGACAGTTTGACACTATTGACAATCGCCTTGAGGTAAAACAAAGATATACCTTGCGTTCGGTATTTTGCTCGAAGAGCAGAGCGTGCAGAGCGGAGCCGTAACCACGTGACCAGCGAGCGAACAGAGCAGTTGAACGCTGTATTAAAGTGCCAGAAATTTTAATAAACGAACGCGAATGAGGATACACCGAGTACACTTTTTGAATAAACGAACGGTAAAGTCAAGCTCGGAGAACTCAGACCAAAATAACGAACGCACGGTTTATTTACAGTGTTTTTTAAGTTTTTAGTTAGATTTTTTTAAAATAGATACCTTTTGTGTGCTCCAGAAGTTTCTTGGACATGCCTAGAGTTTGTTTAGTTGTTAATTGTGGCAGTATAGCGCAAGAGATAAAATATCCTTCCATAGGTTTCCATCAATTTTAAATAACAATGGGAAGTTTGATTTGCTAGCTCAAGAGAGAAGAAAAAGAAAAAAATTGATTAATGTTCTTAAAAGAGAAGATCTGACAGAAAAATAGATTGAATACAGAGTAATTATACTTATATATTTGTTCTTGTGACACTGGGTTTGGATATTTGTTAGAAAAAACCTGAATTTAATCTATTCTAGAAAAACATAGCAAACTTTTAGTTGAAAGACCACATAGACTGGAACACAAACACTCCGCTCTAACTTTTTTTAAACAAAATAACACCAAAACTTGTGAGAACCGCATAAAACATAACCGGCCTTATCTAAACGAATGTAATGCCGTTTCCGATTGGTAGATCTAGTGCAGAACTAGTGCAATTTTTTCTATTTCTGTCTTTTTCTTCTACAGGTCGATTAAAAGGATGCAAATACACTCGGTGCGCACTGAATCTACCAATCGAAAACGCCATAAATAAATGATTTGTTTTACCTCAGGAGGGCGACTGTCAAACTCATTTGTGACGTCACATGGACATGCCCTATAATGGCCGAGTTCGTTTTTGTCATCTTTTTCATCGATTTGCTCCGAAATTTTGACAGGCACGTGATTTGTAAATTGAAACTGTCTGATCCAGTCACGTGTCTGTCAAAATTTCGGAGCAAATCGACGAAAAAGATGACAAAAACGAACTCGGCCAATATGACAGCACATAAGAATGGTCAAATCCAAGGGTCAAATCAACTTGTGACGCCTTGGAAAAAGACAAACGCAACATGAAAGAAGTATGAAGTGCTAAGAATGTTTGACAATTGGTTAAATACAGGACTGGAAGCAAATGACAGTGATGTAATAATTCAAGACTCATTACCCGCAATTCATTCGCACAAAAAAAGGAGATGCCGCGGCTGTTTTACGGGAGGAATTTGAAGATTTTGGAAGAAAATGGCCTGAATCGAAAAGGACGGAGTTGTATATTGTATGACCTCTCTGGATCCAATGATGGAGATGAAGATAATGTAAATGACATAGGGTTGCATGAAGGGAATGAATTATTTAGAACTTTCTGAAAAAGTGTTAATCACATTCACTCTGCAAAAAATGTTTGGTTTGCTGTTTTAATGTTTCGTATAACTACAGATTATACATCCGTGCTAGCAGTCATCTTCAAGGCCTTTACCAGTATGTTTTTATTTTAGCTTGTTCACAGGTAGGTTGCGAAATAGTATACTCTATAACAAGTGTGGAATAAGCAAAATCCCAGACGAGTAAAGAAGTTTGTTCCCCGAGCCGTCAGGTCAGGGGAACGGCTTTAAGCCTAGTACCATAGAGAAATATAATAAACCAAGGTAAGAGTACCTGATTGATAACATGAAAGTTTGTATAGCGCTGACGTCACAGCGACGGTGGCGTCAATAGTGGCAGCCGGAACAAATACTGAAATGGCGGGAATTTTGAAATTTGACTTGAGTTGATTGCACAAAAAACTTACTTATGTTGTTCCACATCTTTTTTTCTCAAATCCGAATGAGAAAAATGATGTGGTACTCCATAAAGTTTTGTGCCATTTTTTGATGTAGATTTAAAAAAAAGGCAAAATAAACACTAAATTGTACTAGAAAAAATATACTTATATTATAGCTAGATAGGTCAAATACCTAAAGAGTTTACAAACACAGTTATTACATCCCTTATACGTGCCTTACGGCCGTTTCCACCAATAAAGCTCTAAGCTGAGAATATCTAAGTGTCCCTTAAAATGTAAGCACCGCTTAATTAAATTTGCATTCCACCACCGCCTTTCTGATGAATCTTAACTAAGTATTGTTTAGCTTTGGCAACCTTGCTTTTGTTAGCCATCATAACCTCAAACTCGGCTTTGCATAGTGGTTTGATGGAATTTTGAAGTCCAGAAAATAAATTGTTTGAAATTATTGACGATAGATTTGTGGTTTAAATAAATAAAAATAAAAAGGTCACTTTTAATTTGTGATTTACAATACCTCGCGACAACACGACAACACGTCCGTTCAACAATGAATGAAAATGAAAAAATAAGAGGTAAGAGGTGGAAATTATACTATACTGCCCAAGAAAAAGATCTTCTGGTAAACCTTGCGGCAAAGTACAAACATATAATAAAAAACAAGAAAACGGACGCAGTATCGGTTTCAGAAAAAACAAAAATTTGGCGAAAATTAGTCAATGAGTTTAACACAATCACTCCAAATTCACCCATCATTAGAAAATTCTAAGGACGCTTCAATTTGTTCTAGAAGTTGCAACACAGTGGGTTTTGTCAATCTGAATCTTCAAAAAACATTAGATTGTCCATCTCCTCAAAATTATTATTTCTGTCATAAATTTTTCTGGGGAAACCACATCTCATCTCCAAACAAATCTAATACTTCCAAATCATCTGCTTATATCCATTTTTCAAACAATAATTTTCGTAAACACACCAACAACGCAAACTCCACCAGAAATTAGAAAATTAAGAAAATTTCTCTCAATTCAATTTTTGCTATTTTCTGTGAAGCATCAACTTTAAGGTTTGCTCATATCAACAAAAGCATGATGCAAATTGCTTGCGCAAATCATCGCCACTCTGTTAAGGGAGGAATAAGCCTAGAAATTCCTGGGCTTAGTTAAGCGTATCTTAATGAGACTAGGTTAGACTGGTGGAAAAGAAATTATAATATAAGCGGCACTTAACGTTAAGTAAACTTAAATTTGCGTTGGTGGAAACGGCCATTAATGTATGTACAAGCTAAGCTGTCCAAGGCCTAACATCTACATTTTATCTCTTCTGACTGAGGTCTCCTAAAACAGTAAAAAAATATGCCGTATATCACAAAACTAATATGTATACTTACTGGTTCAGTTTATCCTAGTTGTACATAATATTATAGGTACGCGATACCGAGTGCCTTAATAAAAATGACAATTTCTTTTTTTTGTTCTTTAGATTTTGTGAGTTCGAGTCTTCTTAGACGACCGCCCAATCGGTTAAAAATGACAAACACATGACAAATTTTAACGCGGAAATGTCGTTATTTTAAGGTTTCTACAAAACAGCTAGGAAAGATCTGTAACTCATACTGTATCCTTGTCTTGTGAATTGGTATGACAGAGAAAGATGAAACAGAATCGAATGATCGGAATGATCTTTCGTAAGTCTCTAGCTTTCCAAAAATTCCGCAATGCGCTATGCGCAACCGGATGCGCAGTAATAGTATAACCTATTTCGGCTATACTTTTGAAGGTCTTTGCCTAGTACTCATAACAGTGGCGGTCCATAGATGATTTTCTGGGGGGGGGTAATGGATGATGGGAAAATTATTAAGGGCGGGTATTATAAAACTACTTTGAGAGTTAACTTAAAGTTAACTTCTGGAATTACATGTAATTCAAAAAGTTAACTTCAAGTTAACTCTCAAAGTAGTTTTATAATACCCGCTCTAAGTCTCGAATGGCTTTTCGCCGGAGGCGAAATTTTTTTGGGGTGCCAGGCCCAAATTTGCACCTGAAAATCGTTTGAAACACACCTCAAGTAAAAATGTATCCCGATGCCGGCAAAATAGTTACACTTAGTAGACGATATCTCCTTTCAGGGTATAATGCAAGAACAAAAAAAATTAAATTACAAAAGTTGTTTGATAGGTACTCATCTTCTAAGGTCCACTAGTTAAAAATATTTTTGAATATACACTATACAGGGTGCT